CGCACCTCGCTGGCAAAACTAAGGTGTGAAGTACATGCTAAGGTATACATTGTCTGCATGTAAATGTGAATTGCGGCAGCTCTAAATGTCATTGTTGCAAGTTGGGCTAGTAAGTATGGTGAGTGCAACAAAAAAAAAAAAGCTTATATAATAAAATACAAACACAATTTATGCTGGCTTCTAAGTAAAGAGAGAAACTGCGGCGCTGCACAAAAAAAAAGGAAAAAGGAAACCGTTCAGTGGCAGCGCGGCGCGGTTTGGATGCCAAAAACAAAAGACTTCAGCCACGAACTTGATATGCAAAAATGCGCACAAATATTTGCCATTGTTGTTCTTGTTGTTGTTGTGTAAAGTAAGTATGTTTGCTTATACGTCGCTTATGTGTTCTCGCGCATTAGCCGAGTAAAAGGGAGCGCGCAACATTACCGAAAAGCAAACATCTTTGCATAGCTGCTAAGCAGACTGCCAGCTAGCTGGGCGGACAAGGCGGCGTGCAGCGTGACGATCTGCTAGTCACCTAGTCAGCTACAATACAGCTATTGAGCCTGCTAGCCGCCACCTCTGACACCAATTCAATTAACATTTTTATTGCACAATTGCGGCGTTGAACAATGAAAATTCGTCACACTAGCGCACAAAAGTCGCAAGTGTTAATGAAAAAATATTCTGTTGTTCACCTACATATGCATATATACTTACATATTTGCTGGTTTCCATCGATGTTTTAGCGTGTAGGCAGACGTGAAGTTATAGCTGGTGTAATAAAAACAAATTTTTTTTTTGGATTTTTAAGAAAAAAGTTTAGCACAAAAGATTTTGTAGTAACCGTCATGCGAAAAGTAAGAAAAAACCGCACCAGTGAGGTTAAAGCATGTATTTTTAAAAGGCCTACGTAAATAAAGATTTATTCATATTTGCAAATACATACAATTAGGTGATTCACAAGGTGTCATAACGAGTCATATTGTCATAATATCATAAATTTTATGACGGTTTAAAATATTTTGTTGTTGCTTGCTACGTGAATTGTGTACTAATGAAATACAACTCTGCACGGTATGTTTTTGGGTTGTCGTATCTAATCAGCTGTCTTTTGTTTACCTTTTCATTTCGCATTTTACTTTTGCCATTTTCATTCTGCTGCTGCGTAAATTTGTTAATTTTACAAAGAAATGCAGCAAGGAGAAAATATCCAGGTAAGTTATCGAATACAAAAGCATAAGTGGCCAAAAATTTACTAAATACATTTCTTCCAGCCAAAGGCAAAACGTGTGCGACTTAATCCGACCAAGAAATGGACAGTGGCGGAAGAAAAGGCACTAGTAGAATTTTTGATGGGCAACAGAAATTTTGAAGTAGGTGTATAGTATAGTAGTACGATATTAAATTTATATTAACAACTTTTATAGAAACCAACAGCGCAATCATATTATAGACGGTTCGCGGAAGAGGCAAACATCGCTGTAGAGTGGAAGTTGATACTTGCGAAGGTGAGAAATATGAGGTTGAGCTATAATAAAGCCAAAGCATGGGAAGGTTCGACTGGCGCTGGCAGCATGGAAGGGGAGACATTAAAAGGTAAGATTTTTTGTCCACTATGAATTTCATTCGCTTTAACTTTAAGTCATACAATTTTGTTTCAGCTACTTTGCTAAAAAAGTGCACTTGTTACTATGAACTAGACGAAGTTTTTGGGGGCAGAATAGTGGAAGCGGCAATAATTGAAGAGAGCTTGGACTCTGCCTCGAGCAATGATATTTTTAATTCAACGATAATTGAAATAGAAGAAGGCTCCACGTCCGCAACCTATGGAGTGGTGGAAAGTGCAGAGCCGCCAAGTGCAGAGCCGCCAAGTCGCAGAGGCATATATTCGCGGACAGCTGTGTCGGATATAAGAGAAATTTACTCGGAGACCTTAAAGTTGAAAAGGGAGAAAATAGAAAATGAAAGTACATTAAGGGAGAGAGAAGTATACATTAAAGAGAGGGAATTGGCTCTGAAAGAAAAAGAAATTGATTTAAAAGTTAAGGAATTGGAAATGAAAGAACGGTTGGCAATGGAGGAGTTTAGATTGAAGTATAAATAAATTCGAAGTGATTTGCCTGCCATTTAAAAGCAGAGGGAGTAAAATGTTCATAAAATTCTGCTTACCATTTTTAACTAAACTAAATACATACACCAGTGTGCGTACGCTGGTATCCACTTTTGTTTAACTTAACTATTTCTATCTCAAAAGCACAAACAAATTTGTATGAATATTTCGCTTCTTTTGATTTGCATAACACTGCTTATACGTACAACTTCAAGTACTTTTTTTATTTACCAGTATATTAATTTGAATTCAGGCTTTTTATTTCATTTACATTTCATAAATAATTTGTATTAGTTTGCGTTTATACCAGAGTTCTCAAATATATAAAATTAATCGTTTGTTTGGTTTTGTATAAAGTGCAATAAGGCAGCTGTAGTGTTGCTTGGAGGTGGAATATTAAGTTCAGATGATAGAATGTCACTGCTACTTTCTTTTTCTGAATATTCTATTAAAATATTGTGCAAGATGCAGCACACCATTATCCATTCATTGCAGTGCTTTTTATTTTGATCGGTAAGCATTCTGAATTTAAGTTCTTTTAAACTACCAAATTTTTCCTTTAACAACCCAAAGCAATTCTCAATCCTCACACGATATTTGGAAAAGTATTTGTTGAATAGATCTCTTCTCTCTCTTGTATACTCGGTACTATTTTGTCGGAATGGTGTAATTATAAACGGTTTCAGTGGATAAGCGCTATCGGCAGCGATCCACTGAGAAGGAACTAAGAAGCGTTCGGGATGTTTAGAAAGTGGGCAGCCCAAAAAAATTTTTGCGTCGTGAACGCTGCCCGGGTAGCCTACTGTGACTTGCCTTATTCGCAACTTATAGTCGCAGACAGCTTGCATTTTAATGCAATACTGGCGTTTCCGAGAGAAGTAGAGCTCATGTTTCTTAACAGGTGCTTCGGCCAGTCTAATTTCTGAGCCGTCGATATAGCCTATGCAACCTGGCATCTCATTCCTCGTGGCAGACACAATTTGCAGTCTTTCGAATTCACTTGGCCAATTCAAAAACTTGCTTTTCAAAGATAATATCACTTTAAAAACTCGTTATGTCACATTCTGAATTGTGCCACCATCGCCTACGCCAAAAAGAGACGCAACTTTTCGTATCGATAGCCCATCGCCCGAGGAGCCTAATCGATACAACACAATTTGGAGTTGCAATGCTATTGGAAGCTGACTTGTATGGGAGACTGTTTTAAATACGTCAGCGTCTTTTATTAGGTTTAGTATGTACCCAAACTCCTCGGGTCGTACGCGAACCATTTGATTAAACCTCCTGTCGTCAAAACTATTCAGTACACGCCGGTGCCAAACAGCAGATTTTGGAATTCCCAAATGAATACTTCTGCGGTTGCACAAAAGGCTTAACATGTTCATCATGAAGCGTTCGTCCGCTTCATCTTGCTCCTCCTCATCGCCTAGAGGAGAATAATATACGAATGCCAAGAAAGTATAGAACGATTTATATCTATAACTTACTTGAATCTGCAAAAATCATGTCGATAACCTGATTTACACATAATTCAGCAATTAGTTTATTTTTCTCACTTTCCCGTGGCATTATTTTTTAGTTTTTTCGCAATCAGCTGATTAATAATTGAAATAGGACACAAAGTAAGATGGTGTGTTCACACGAGTTGTATATCCGCCCAAATTTATTATATGACATATGACGTTATGACACCTTGTGAATCACCTAAATATTTTAAGTTAATTTATGTGTAGGAAAAAGGTTTCAAAATTAGTCACACTTAATCGCCAATAAATTGAAATTGAATTATACATATGTATGCGTGTACATATTTATATATGTATGTACAATGAGTTTGTAGTCGATATTTATCATTTCAGGAGGTTTTTCATAGAGGAGGGTTATATATATAAGCAGAATAAAAACGAATTTTGAATTGAATCATAAAGATGCCAAGAAATAGATAATTATTTATAATTTAGTTATAGTGTACTTTAAAATTGCTTAACACTATTTTCGTATACACAAAATGTATCGATAAGATTTATCGAAACTATAATTTTGGTTTTTAGTGACAACGTCAGCAATATATATGTACATCTACCAATATGAGATGGTAATGCGATGAAATCCATCATATCAATCAAAAAGTGAATTTTGAATTTTTTATAATTTACGACTTTTTGCATTTCAGGTGACGATTTGTAATAAATTTTTTATCGACATATAAACCTATAAGTATACTAATACTTATAAATGTTTAACAATATATTTATCGATGTCGATCGTAACAATTCTCGATATTTTTCGGCGTGGTATTGCCATTGAATTTGTATTCGATTTCGTATTTTGATTCCTATTTGTATTTGTATTGATTGGTATTGGAATTAGTATTGGTATTGGAATTGGTATTGGTGTAGGTATTGGTATTGGTATTCATATTGATGTTGGTATTTGTATTGGTAAGAGTGTTGGTATTGGCATCGATATTGTCACTGGTATTGGTGTTGGAAATGGGTAATGGTATTGGTATTGATATTGGTAATGATTGGTATTGTTATTGGAATTGGTATTGGTTTTGGCATTGTTATTGGTATTGGTGTAGGTATCGGTATTGGTATTGACAGTGATGTTGGTATTAATATTGGTGTTGGAAATGGGTAATGGTATTGGTACTGGCATTGATATTGATATTGTCATCGGCATCGTCTTTATATTGGTATTGGTATTTGTATTGGTATTCGTATTAGTTTCAGTATTGGTGTTGGTATTAGTATTGGTATAAGTATTAGTGTTGGTATTGGTGTTGGTATTGGTATTGGTGTTGGTATTGGTATTGGTATTGGTATGGGTATTGAGCTTGTAGTCGATAGAGGAAGCCTTCATACTGAAAGAACGCGGAGCGCGTGAGTGGTACCGCCCTCTGTTAAGTAAACAGGGGAATGCCATATTTTCCCAACCTCTTTTTGGATTGTGGTCTTAAACAGCTGCTAGAAGTGCTGGGGAGGAGAGTATATTTGAACTGATTCAAAGGTTCTGGTGATAATTTAGTGCTCTGGGAACAGTCTTGTACACTAGAAAGCATAAAAGCATAAACAGACGGCAGCGTTGATCCGGATCAACTCGTTAATTCGGAATTATCTCGGGAATTAAATGCAGTTGATCCGGACTAAGCCCTAGAGTTAATTCCCAAACTTAAGTCAGATCAATTGAATATTCGATGACAACACTGACCGAAGCTCAGAGAGCGTAGAATACAGAGAAAGAGCAAGAGATGACTGCATTACCGATGACAAGGTGGATGTCAATTGGAGACGTTTCCAATAGAGTTGAGTACTAGCGCTTAATTTTTGACCAGAAGTTCTCGCGAAAGCTTTACATTGGAGAAAGCCTAAAGAAGGCACCAGTAGCTCTCTGCTGCTTGAAAGATATTGTCATTCATTAATTGGAATCAATAGAGCATTTGTGACCAATTCGATTCTAGTTCTTAACGTCAGGCTAGACATAGTGCCCATCGACATAGGAGTTGAAGCTGCTGCAGCAAGGGATGGAGTCAGGCCTAGGGAGTCGTGGGCTTAACTTACTCAGGAGATATACTGGCACCAAACAGTTTTTTGTTAACTCACATCCCTCTGGGAGAAGAGCGGTTGGAAGGAGATATCGGTAAACTTTTATACAGGTCCTTGTACTCGCTTAGGGCGCGCATATAGTAAGGTGGGTAGTGTCTGACCACACTCCTGGTCGCGTCAGAGTAGTTTGTAGTCAGAGAGTGATACTTCAAAAAACTGCGTGGTAGATGAGCTGGCCAGGCAAGGAAACCTTAGTGGGTTCGGCATAGAAAAAGGAGAGCGGGTGTACCTTCAAGAATGAACGCATACAAGACTGCGCATTCCTCCGGGCGATGACGCCACAATAGCAACGAGTAAGAGAGATCAATGAGATAAAAAATAACGTTTGTCGTAATTTGAAAACAAATCGTAGTTGTGTTCATCTACGCGAGAACAAACTTAGCGCGGACATTTCTATGATGACGTCACACCAACAACTGATTCTGTAAAATTCGCGACGGCACTGCTAAATGTGCCACCTCTGTATCTCTACATCGTGGGTGTACCTTTTACTATGCGTGAACTGTCTTCTTTTTGACGAATGGACCTGGTGCAAACTCAGTAATCGCAGGACGAAAACCAAGCCATGTGCTACGGCAGAGTTCTTTCTAGCTAAGGGTAGTCCAAAACGGTCAAGAGATTATCTGGGAATCGTGTGGTATTTTTGGAGACCCTATTAAGAAACCGAACAATCATTTGGAATGAGTGCTGCCGGCGATTGGACAGTTTTATTGCATCTGCCATCAACAAAGATCCGTAGCTTGTCAACCCCAAAATGCCAATTCTTCTAAAAAGTATATTCTCAAACAACTATGTATGTACTAAGTAAGTAGCGAATTTCACGCTAGATAACTTTTTCACTTGTATTCTTTCGTTGTGAACACTAATTAATTAGCATAATGAAAAACTTCCGCAGAACGCTTTATCCCAGCCGAATTAAAGACTTCATTTAGACCATTAAAATGCAGCGATTTTTTAAGCTTACCGCATTTACATTGGCGTGTCTGTCGTCTGGCCACACACACGCGCATATTAATATACTCCCATGCAAGCCTACCTACATTTATTTATACATGCACGTGCTGGTGCCACAATTATGCACTTCCTGTCCTGTTATAACAACGTTATTGCGAATTTTCGCCTATAATACCTACTACAGTGCAATTTAAAGTTGTTTCAGTCTACAGAGATTTCTTGAATTTTTGTTGCCGGAGCTTTATTTTTTAAGTGAAGTAGAGATAAATTAAAATCAGTTGAAGCGCATTAACGCCGACTTTACACACCTCGCTTGAAGATTAATTAGCTTAATCCTGGCACATAGGAGTATTCCAGCTACCCACACAAAGGCATAGATATGCACATATTAAGGTAAGCTCGTATGTACATTAGGGTGCATTACTCTCTATAAAAAATAGGTACTGTCTTCCTATCAAAAATATAAAAGTTATTATAGTTTTTGTAAGACTTCCTCCAAAATATTGCGAATAAATATGAAGACTTACTTGCGTGGATCTGGTTGAAAATACCTCCAAAATTGATTATTTTCTAAATAAAATTAGTCTTAAATTTTTTTTTTTAAATAACGCCAGGTGATTAAAGTGTTTATGCTTAAAAGTTTTGCACAGAAATGTTAAAAAAATTTACCAACGGCAACAAAATAATATGATTTTTGG